TCTGTTGCATATGACCATGGATATGTGCAGGACTTCTCTGTTGCAGATGCCCACGGATATATGCAGGACATCTCTGTTGCAGATGCCCACTGATATGTGCAGGACTTCTCTGTTACAGATGACACGGATATGTACAGGACATCTCTGTAACATATGACCACGGATATGTGCAGGACATCTCTGTTACAAATGCCCATGGATATTTGCAGGACTTCTCTGTTGCAGATGCCCACGGATATGTGCAGGACGTCTCTGCTACAGATGCCCACGGATATGTGCAGGACAGCTCTGTTTCAGATGACCACGGATATATGCAGGACATCTCTGTTACAGATGACCACGGATATGTGCGGGACATCTCTGTTACATATGACCACGGATATATGCAGGACATCTCTGTTACATATGACCACAGATATGTGCAGGACGTCTCTGTTACAGATGCCCACGGATATGTGCAGGACAGCTCTGTTTCAGATGACCACGGATATATGCAGGACAACTCTGTTACAGATGACCACGGATATGTGCAGGACATCTCTGTTTCATATGACCAAGGATAAGTGCAGGACTTCTCTGTAACAGATGCTCACGGATATGTTCAGGGCAGCTCTGTTTCATATGACCATGGATATATGCAGGACATCTCTGTTACAGATGACCACGGATATGTGCGGCACATCTCTGTTACATATGAATACGGATATATGCAGGACATCTCTGTTACATATGACCACGAATATGTGCGGGACATCTCTGTTACAGATGCCCACGGATATGTGCAGGACATCTCTGTTACGGATGACCACGAATATGTGCAGGACATCTCTCTTACATATGACTACGGATATGTGCGGGACATCTCTGTTACAGATGACCACGGATATGTGCATGACATCTGTGTTGCAGATGCCCACGAATATGTGCAGGACATCTCTGTTACATATGTTACGAATTTACAGTTTAAGAATATTATAATATTTCTAGTTATGTATTTTACGATTTCTCTATGAATTTTTCTGTTTGATGTTTTTATCGTTGAAAACAGTAGCGAAAATCATCAATTTATCATTGGTTGCTATAAGACGCTTTACCTGTACAGTTGTTGCTAGGGTGCTCTCTTCGAGGTCCGCGTTCGAAGTATAAATAGTGGGTAGCTATTCAGTTCAAGTTGGCATTCATTCATACAATACCACAGTCACGTCTCAGTCATTACAACTGAACGGACGTGCTGGGTCAGCTCTCCTTTACCCGCTATCTTCGATGAGGGTTTACAGTTAGATGGATCAACGACTTACTACTTTCGATGACAGAAACCAATCCAACGCTGTACAGACTACGTTAGGCTATAATCCGAGTAGGGCAAATTCCCGCGTCAACATACACTCCAAAACCCATTATGGATGGGGGAGTGGTATGCCGAGTGACGTCCGAGGGCTGTATCCTAGGTGTTAGATGATGGACCACCATTTCACTGTCTCACGACTTTGGTCCTGATAATGCTTCCTGTCATCGTTAATACTACGTCCGAGACTCATCTACCAGTACTCCATCATCGAGGTTAGCGGGCTGCCAAGCTGACCAACCTGGCCCTGAAAGCAGCCGTTGTGAAGACATAACATCAAAATAGTCAACAAAAGAAAAATCAAAACAACTAACAAAACCAAGATGGCGGCCTACCAAAATGGCGTCCACCACCTGTTCCTGACCGATGGCACAAAATTATTTAAACGCTCACCAAACGCCTTCGGGCACCGAGCCGACCGTGCAAGGGCTGTATAGCCAGTCAAGGTCGTTAAAAACTTCCATTTGTTGTTCAAGTTGTCATTTGTACCGAAGACAGCAGACAGTGGACATCGGAAAGGTTGGAAAGGAAGTAGTTTACAGCAGGCAGAATGTTTAGTTTAAGTGAAGTGAAGTGCTTGGAACCTGCGGACAGAATATAGAAAGGCTGAGACTGTTGGTTCGGTACAGATTGTCCAAACAGGTCTGGCGCTAGGGTTTTGCGTCTCACATCTCTCACTATTGCAGTGAGTGTTTGCTGACATACCATGCCAGACAGGCGAAGCAATGAATGTGGTTTTTAATTTGATAGATGCTTTTGTTCTTTTTTGTAAATAATTGTTTGTTTTGATATTGTAACACAGTGATGACTGCTGTACCCATATTTTGACTATTTTATTTATAATGTCTGTTTTGTTCACGCATCGTTGTAAATATAACGGAATTTGATAAGACTGTCGTACAAGTGAGAGGTTTAGTGCTATAAAACCAGGTTCAATCCACCATTTTCTACATTTGAAAGTGCCTGTACCAAGTCAGGAATATGACAGTTGTTGTCCATTCGTTTGATGTGTTTTGTCATTTGATTTTGCCATGTGATTAGGGACTTTCCGATTGAATTTTCCTCGGAGTTCAGTATTTTTGTGATTTTACTTTTTAGTGCTACCCTGTTGTTCCGACAGTTTTATTCATATATTTAAATAAAGTTTCATACGCCGAAAGTTTACACCAGTTGAAATAGTTATCATACATTCGTTTTAATAGGTTTCAGCCCGGTTCCATACATTTAGGTTTCAGCCCAGTTTCATACATTTAGGTTTCAGCCAGTTTCATACATTTAGGTGTCAGCCAGTTTCATACATTTAGGTTTCAGCCTAGTTTCGAACATTTGGTTTAAAACTGATATCAGACTGAAAGGGTTTTGTTAAACTGTTTCAATTTGCCAGGTTCGGGTTAAGTTAATAGGTGTTGAACTTCGTTTTATGTAGTATTAGTTTTATTATTAAGTAGTATAGCGTAAACTGTTTGACTTTAAAAATTTTGCATTTGCTCTTCAAGTCCTAGGAAACTGGTACGAACCCGACTCGGGATAAAAATATTAAAACGCCCTCGCCCGGTTACACGTTACACATATGACCACGGATATGTGCAGGAAATCTTTGTTACAAATGACCATGGATATGTGCAGGACTTCTCTGTTGCATATGACCACTGATATTTGCAGGACATCTCTGTTGCATATGAACACGGATATTTGCAGGACTTCTCTTTTACATATAATGTCTGACCACGGATATGTGCAGGACATCTCTGTTACAGATGACCACGGATAAGTGCAGGACATCTCTGCTGCATATGACCAAGGATATTTGCAGGACATCTCTGTTGCATATGACCACGGATATGTGCAGGACTTCTCTGTTACATATCGCCACGGATATGTGCAGGACAGCTCTGTTGCAGATGCCCACGGATATATGTAGGACATATCGGTTGCAGATGCCCACGAATATGTGCAGGACATGTCTGTTGCATATGACCAGGGATATGTGCAGGATTTTCTCTGTTGCAGATGCCCACGAATATGTGCAGGACATCTCTGTTGCAGATGCCTACGAATATGTGCAGGATATCTCTGTTGCAGATGCCCACGAATATGTGCAGGACATCTCTTTTGCATATGAACACGGATATGTGCAGGACTTCTCAGTTGCAGATGCCCACGGATATGTGCAGGACGTCTCTATTACAGATGTCCACGGATATGTGCAGGACGTTTCTGTTACAGATGACCAAGGATATGTGCAGGACGTCTTTGTTACAGATGAACACGGATATGTGCAGGACTTCTCTGTTGCATATGACCACTGATATGTGCGGGACTTCTCTGTTACAGATGACCACGGATATGTGCAGGACATCTCTGTTACATATGACCACGGATATGTGCAGGACATCTCTGTTACATATGACCACGGATATGTGCAGGACATCTCTGTTACATATGACCACGGATATGTGCAGGACATCACTGTTACATATGACCACGAATATATTCGGGACTTCTCTGTTACAGATGACCATGGATATGTGCAGGCCATCTCTGTTACATATGACAACGGATATGTGCAGGACATCTCTGTTACATATGACCACGGATATGTGCAGGACATCTCTGTTACAGATGCCCACGGATATTTGATGGACATCTCTGTTACAGATGCCCACGGATATTTGCAGGACATCTTTGTTTTAAATGACCATGGATATTTGCAGGACCTCTCTGTTACATATGACCACGGATATGTGCAGGACTTCTCTGTTACAAATGACCACGGATATGTGCCGGACTTCTCTGCTACATATGACCACGGATATGTGCAGGACATCTCTGTTGCAGATGACCACAGATATGTGCAGGACTGCTTTGTTGCAGATGCCCATGGATAATGGATTTGTGCTAGTCGAGATCAACACGACGGATCACTTTGTTTTAGTTGTCACTGCTTACTTGTTTTATGCACCTGAGTTGATCAACGATTTTTTGTGTTCGTATTGCCCAATCATGCTCAAATAAAGGAATGCGGTATTAAGGCATAAAAGACGACAAATAAGTCCAAATGACGTAAATTTAGTTTCCTTTTCAATAGGTTGGCTCTGTTGATTGATAGCATTCCTGATTTTTTAATCAAAGTAAAAATTTTACGAAAATCGGATAAAATATTATTTCGATATAATGTGATTTCATAATTGAATATCAAATTATCATTCACTTTATTAAAAAGAGAAGCGTTTCAAACTTATATACAAAGGCAAATGTTAATCTCTTTGTGTTTTTCTTCTTCTGGCACCACCTCCATTTATTTCTTTGAGTAAACCTGTTTACGTTAAAGTGATTGAAATGTGTCAAATGTGTAGCAAATTCAAATAATTGTGAAAAAAACATGCATGGTGCGTTATTTGTGCTGTTAAGTATATTTTGCCATAAAAATCGTGCAAAAGATTTAACAGTATCGATAATTTATAAGTTGCATTCGATGTTCTCCATGTTTTCATCTGTGGGTTGCTTACCATTAACAAATTAAAACTTGTTTTCAAAACCTGTCCTAAATCAAAAAAGAACAATCTAAATATCGAAAAGCTAAAAATAGATAAAGTAATAATTTCGTGACATCTATGAACTGTGATTTAATTTTTGGCCTATATCACACGACAAACAAATACACTTCCTGGTGTTGAACACGATGACTGATAAAGGTAAGATAAAATGTCCATGTTCACAATTTCAATGTTTCGAGATGAACAACTTTTATCGATAGATTATTTAAGAAAAATGTATAAAAATTTGTAATGATTTGGAGGATAATATTAAACAAAAGATATTCCTTGACAATCAACACAAAAAACAGATAGAAAGGAAAGCATAGCACGGTTGGTATAGTTTCCTATGGAACGCCAAAACTGTCTTATAATATCCATTTTCATTATAAGATGTGATTTTACCTTTATATGATCTGCAAACACCTTTATATGGTGTCCAGTTAACGTTAAATGATGTGCAAATATACTTATATGATGTGCAAATTTACTTATATGATGTGCAAACATCCTTATATGATGTGCAAATATACTTATATGATGTACATGCAAATGTATTTTACAATGAGCAAATATACTTATATAATGTGCAAACATCCTCATACATGATGTGCAAACATCCTCATACATGATGTGCAGCTGTACTTATATGATGTGAAATATACTTATATGATGTGCATTTTCCCTTATATTACGTGCAAACATCTTTATATGATGTGGTTGTGATTGATTGATTGTTGGTTGCTTAACGTCCAGTGGCAAATAGATGATGTGGTTGTGTCATTATATTATGTGCTTGTAACATTATATGATGTGGTTCGGTTTGCTTCATTATATGATATCAAAACGTTCTTACATGAGGCTTTTCTGCATTTTTTTTAATGTCAGTTTACTGTTTCTGATATAGCAGCTCCAGCCTGGTATCAGCTTCCAAAAGTGCAATTTATAGAAACTAGAGGCTTCAAAGAGACTTTTTCGCTCACCTTGTTCTATATGCATACTTAGTATTGAAGAAAGGCCCACCATTGTAGACGAGAATAGAGTTCATGGCAAAAATCTCCCTTTTGTTGATCTTGTATTGCTGATTATAGTTTTTTTCTCAAAACACAAAAGAGGGTAAAAAATACTCATTTAAAGGCAATCGCTCCTTGAAAGTGACAGTCCACTAACTATATCTGAAACATTTTACTTGTTAGTAGATCTTGCTTTGTTGATCATTTTTTTGTGATGTAAAGTGTCTATTTATCTATTTTAGTTTTATCATATAAGGCAAAACTAAAAATAATATGGTAAAAATCGTCATTTAAGGACAATAACTCCAATAAGGAGTCGGCGGGCGATTTCCTTCATGTTTTGTTTAATTGTAGATCTTGACTTACTGATAATTTTTGCCTATTTAAGTTTCTTTCTATCTATTCTCATTTTTATGATATAAAGCAAAAACGCAAAAAAATGGTAAAAATCGTCACCATAGAGCAATAACTCTAATTAGGAGTCGACTGACAATTTCGATCATGTGGGCTTATTTGTAGAACTTGTCTCGCTGATCATTTTTGCTATTTGAAGTATCTATTATAATAATCTGTAAGGGCAATAACTCCTTTAAGAAGTCGTCTGACAGTTTTGAAGTATAGAAACAATTGGTAAAAGCTCAGCAGTCTGAACATTTCTGCGCCTGTCAGATTTTGTCTATTCATAACAGTTTTTAAAAAAATAGACAAAACGTCAATTACTTGCATTTTACCCCTATGTTCCATTTTTAGCCATGTCGGCCATTTTGGTTTGCAGGCGGGGTCATCAGACACATTTTTAAAACTAGATGCCCCAATGATGATTGTGGTCAAGTTTGTTAAAATTTGCCCCAGTAGTTTCAGAAGAGATTTTTTTTGTAACAGTTAACAGACGACAACGACGGACGCCGGACGCTGGACGCTGAACGCCGGATGCTGGACGCCGGACGTCGGACGCCGGGCGTCGGACGCCAAGTGATACACAGGCAAATTTTGTTCACGTAAATTTCACGTGAAAATCACGTGAATTTCACATGAAATTTTTCACGTGAGATTCACCTCAAACGAGCTTATACATGAAACTCACGTGAAATTTTTCACGTGAAACTCACGTTAAATTTACGTGAATTTCACGTGAATCGAGCTTTCACGTGATATTCACGTGAAATTTTTCACATGAAATTAACGTGAATCGAGCTTTCACGTGAAATTCACGTTAAATTTTTCACGTGAAATTAATGTGAATCGAGCTTTCACATTATTTTTTTTAAATGAAATTAAGGTGAATTGAGTCTCAATCACACAAATTTCACAGTATTTCAGCATATTTTAGATAAGTAAATGCTAATCTAGTACACATTCTATTTTGATATATATAAATATTCTTCTTGGTCTTGAGGATGAATTCATACTTCCATTCTATTTTACTTTCTCTTTGTATCTTAAATTTCTTGGTCCTAAACAATACAAATAATATTTATTCATCAACTCCAACTCACAATATCTTCAATGCAGCAGATAGATTCAATAAAACCAAGAAGGCAAGCAAATATCCAGGGCACCATAGTTCACTCCTAGAACATTTTTGGTTGTGTTCAAGTCTCAATATTTTTGTTAATTTGATGTATGGAAGGTGATTTATTTATAGAAGATGTATGCACTGATGTATATTTCATTTTTAATATGTATGTATAAGTCTTTTTGTGTTCATCAGTTTTGAGACATTCCAATCACATTATGGACAAGTATTACTTGCAAAAGATGCCAATTCTTCTTATGAGTTTTTTGAAGAAAAAAGGTAGTTCACCCTGCCACATACTCATGTACTCTGGTCAATTAAAACAGATCATGACATATTGTTTCGACACCTGTCTATTGTTGAGGACTTTTCAGGTGTTTTTGTTGTTGTGTTACTGTCTGATTGATTTATACCTCAAACCTCATTGTATTAATAAACTGAAATAGAAAGTTCTGTGAAATATATTTGATATACCATATTGAAAGTCTTGCTGTTATTTACAACCATTTCTTTCTTATTTCATATATGGTTTTCAGTTTTTCATTTTACCACTGATCTTAAGGTTAAGTCAAAAAGAAAATAAATGGTGACAAACAACAGGCATATACCATTAAAAGATCTCAAAGTTTGGCTTCACAATAAGCTAAAAATTCTTGTTATTTATATATTTATAAAAAATTCATTTTAAAACAAGCATTTTCCATTTTTAGACAGTAACTGTCATGTTGACACAATAATTTGAATTAGAATTGTATGATATACTGAAAGTACTTGTAGTTGAAAAAAAATATATACAATATTTAATTCCTGGTGTTTAGATTTCTAGAATGCACCACGCCCATATCATGACTACATGTTAGTAATGTTTAAGTGTTCTCTCCTGCATATGTAATTGCTACATGTATTTATACACAAGGCTTCCTTCATACATTTGCACTTATCCTTCTAAGATGTTGCTTCCATGATAAAATCCTGTAGTTGCATAATCAGCCATAAACTCTTGGAATACATTTGCTGTAATAAAAAAAAAAAACCAGCATATATTATTTTGTAAAATATACATCAAATTAAATATTGCCTTACTATTCAAGCAAAAATGATAACATCAATTTAATATTTAAACTTACCGGGTACATATATGTATATACTTTTATAAATTGAGACTTGGATGGAGAGTTGTCTCATTGGCACTCATACAACATCTTCTTATATCTTTGTATATAATCATACATGTATATTGTGTGTCGGATTAACTGGAGTGGAATATTAATAGTTGTTGTTTGTTGCTGCACTACTTTTTGATTACCTCTGCTATGGAGCTTGTGGAGGTTTGTAATGGTTGAAATTTGCCATGAAATCTGGAATTTGTAAACATTACAGATGGAAATCAAAATGCTCTGATCATTCTGATGATATAAACCTATTTAATATTAATTTCATAAAATTCTAGCAAGAATTGTACACAAGAGCCATAACAATGCAATTTTCCAAATAATTAATGTTTCCAAGGGGCATAACTCTTTTAAAAATGAATGATTGGCACTGATTTTAAAACTTGTCAGACATTGTTGATATAACCTATCAAAATAAGTTTCCTAAAAATTTGACCAGAATTGTACAAGACATGCAATAGGTAACTTGTACAGTGTATTAGAAAAGTATTGTTTAGGCCCCTTAGGCCAGGGTTTTTTTATTTGTTGGTTTACGGATCCGCTGACCCTATTTTTCTGATTTGCAGAATAAAAATAAAATTGACCATTCATGCTTTTTTATTCCCGCTGACCCTTTGCAATTTTTCCATTTATAAAAGGGCATAACTCTAGAACGGTTAAAGTGACGCCACCAAAATTCAAACTTGATCTGTGTTTTGTGGTAATAAGCATTATGTATAAGTTTCATAACATTTGGTTGAGACAAACTTAAGTAAGAGAACGGAAACTTAAGATTTTGCAATTTTTCCATTTATAAAGGGGCATAACTCTAGAACGGGTAAAGTGACGCCACCAAATTTCAAACTTGATCTGTGTTTTGTGGTAATAAGCATTGTGTATAAGTTTCATAACATTTGGTTGAGGCAAACTTAAAGTAAGAGAACGGAAACTAAAAATTTTGCAATTTTTCCATTTATAAAGTGGCATAACAATCAGGATTCATGACAATTACCAAATCAATATCTCCAAGTATAACAAACAAAGAAAGTGAAAAACAGATTATTTGCCTGAATTTTCTAAGTCCAATGACCATAGCTATGCAAAGAAAAACATCTCAACAGAATAAATATTGAACTTGATCTGTAAATTTGTCATGGTAAAACTATATACAATGTATAAATATCAAATCAATATTTTCAAGCATTACTTAAAGTCCCCTTGGCTTTGCTGGTAAGGGACTAATAAACATTTTAATATTTGTTATCATGGTTTTATCTATTTCAATCATGCATGTATGTTTTTCAATTTTCAGAAATAATTGTTTTTTTAAAGTTGCATGTAAATTCTCAAAGTATAACCTGTGACGAAAAGTTGGTTATACAACTTCAACTAAAGTGTGTATCCTTGTGTTTGTGCTGTGTTGTTGAGTGTATTAGTTTCAGGTCGTGCCTTTCACTCGTACACAGTGTCACTGATTACAGTGTTACAGGATTACCCTAGAAAAGAACTGGTAGCGTGATTGATGGAATCCTGGTGTAGTCTGAACGAAGTCTTGCCAGTGAACATAAACACAAAGTTGATTAAAAGTTCAATTCTCATTACTGAATTATTCAAAATCCAAAGTAACAGTAATATAAGTTTACAACATCTATTAAAACTGCAGGCTCAACAATACAGTGGCATAATCTTAAATCTCTGAAGTACATTTCTCTGGTACACAAAATCGTTACTCCTTCTCTACAGCTATTTCTCTTTTTTATACCTCTATTTGCCCTAGTAACCTGATTACAATATGGTTAAATGACTCTGAACAAAGAAATAATCAACCGGAGCTAGGGCTACAGGAGCCCGGAGCTGAGGTCAATTCATAGAATCATACATTATTTTTTCAAACCATGAGTTGGATGACGAAGATGGAATTTTTTCTTCGAGTTTTCTTGTTTTGTATCAACTTTTGAGTATACATGTGTGTGTGTCTAATAGGTGTTTATTTTAAACGGAGTTTTACAACTGTGAACTGATGAATGCACGTCGTTTCGTAACCTGGTCGTTTCGTACCTGGTCGATTCGTAACTACCTTGTTTTGTAACTGAGACGTTTCGTAACTTTTGTAATTATATATGGTTATAAAGTGTTAGTTTAAATCAATTAGTTTAAATGAAAAAGTTAAAGTTATTATTTAAAAATAATCAAATTGTTCATCTAATAATAACAATATTGTAATATTTTTAATTTAAAATTTTCTGAAATCTTTTTAATTATTGGCTAATTGGCTAATTGGTAATTACACTCGGTGACAGCTTTAATGGATTTATGACAACTTATGACAGGTAATAAAAAGTAATTACAGTAGGTGTAAAGTGATTAAGTAGATTAATAGCACACGACCTATGGCACACGACATGAAAAAAATAATTATTTTCTCCTTTTTTTTTTTCACTTTTACATGCAATTGCATAACCCTCCTCCCTTTTCACCCGGGCTGGGGACCGGCGTTGGCGGATTTAAAGTTTTTTTTTTTTTTTTTTCTTTAGAACACTTTATCTTACTCTATTCTTTTTCTTTCTTTCAGATACATCACTATGTTGTCCTTTGTTTGCATGCTTATACTGGCATAAAGCCTGATTTTTCATCCGAAAAACCCTGGTATAAACATGAAACAAAGTCTTAGTGGGCCGGAGCAGCAGCAGCAGTTGGTCCGTAAACAAAAGCACACCTCCTTAATAATGTACTACTGGACATCTGGTTTTGAGTGTATTTATCCCAGAATGAGAAAATGCGTCCTTGTATGTAGCGGGTCCTTACACGCTGATACCTTTTCAGTTTACCTTCGGATACCAACTTGATCTGTAGAGGAAGAAACGATGTCTCCTCGGAGTTGTCCTCGGTTATGACTCTAGGTGGTGGTCGGCGTCTAACAATATAATGATCTGAATCTGAGTCACTGTCACTAAAAAGGTAATTTGGGTCCAAAAATCGTAACAATTACGGGAAAATCGTAATGGTTGGCATCTATGCTTATCAAGTTCTGTCGAAACAAAGTCAAAGGGTACCCCGAAACAAAGCTTCACGGGGTAGGCGGGAGAAAAGTACAGTCATTGAGACATTTTGATCTCCACATAGTGAAGAAATTTAAACCCGACTTTGTTTTCATACAGATTGGAGAGAATGACATCTGTGATAAATTATCTGCATCACACACAGCATCAGAGATTGTACAACTCGCAAAAGATATCAAGCGCTTAGGTGTTCCTTCTGTAGTTATAGGCTCCAACATCGTCAGACTAAAAACAAGAAACATGAAAGAAACAACTTATGATAGAAAAAAAAAGAAGATAAATAAAGAACTAAGCAACATAAAGATGAGTGGTGTCAAGTATTGGAGACATCAAAGCACGTGGCAGAAGACTAAATACTTTGATAAAGACGGGGTACATCTAAATGATGATGGACAATTCAAATTCTTCTGTTCTATTCGCATGTGTGCAAAACTGTACTTGTAAAGTGTAAATTTATGTGCAATTAATTATTTAATAAATAAATAAATATAGATATATATATACACATACATCACTAAGTCTTTTTATTACTTTTTGCGTAACCTACTACTCTTATCGTTATTATATATTGATATAAGGTTACAAAACGTCTCAGGTACGAAACGACCTAGTTAAGTTACGAATCGACTAGTTACGAAACGACCAGGTTACGAAACGACCTGCATCAGGACAAAAGACGAAAAGTTGAAAATCATTCTCACTATTTCTGTTTATTTCTGCACTATTAAATCATTTATTTGAGTTACCTGTTTTATTTCCTCGAGTTTCTATGCGTTCATAACTCCTTGATTGTGTTTGTCTCGTTAAATAAACAGAAACAAGTACTTGTTCAAGTTGTTGTCAGTTGCAATTGGCTACCGGCGTCTTCAATTTGCATCATTCATCTGAATCATTCAAGCGTTTTAAAAACCGACCTCCGGTCCCGGATATCGTCACGAAGAATAGTTATCCATGACCATGTGCAAATAGTACATGCTGGTTTCCCCATTCAATAGTCTATTATAGACCAATATCCAGTGTTTCTTAGCATAATCAGCATCCCGACTTTACTGACTCAATTCATTTTTAAAATGATATTTACTGCTTAAAGTCCTGACTAAGTAAGACATATAAATGAACAAATAACAAATTCGTTTGTTTACAAGCATCATTTACAGGAGCACCCCTTTAGTAGAGCATAAAGTTTAACCCTTAAAACTGTTTGATATATTTTAATATAATATAAACTATATTGTTAGATAGAATTTCAATGAAGTTATTTCATTTAGTTGAAGAATATATCGATATGTTTAATCCAATTAACAGCCTGTCTAATTGGCAATCATACCCTCACATTTATTACAGCTAAATAATATTAGAGACATTATTTAAATTAGTTTAATGCCTCTGGTAATAATTTAATGTCAATCAATAATTTTCGATAACATACATAGCACATTAATGCATTTGCCTGGGACACTATATAGGACTTAAAATATGTTTATTATCTATAAATTTTAAAAGATAATTAAAAATATTTGAAAATTATACAGCATTTTTAGGTGTAAAATTCCTGGTTTTTCATGTTTCAAGACTGTAGTTTTTTTTTTAATAAATAATATCAGATCTATCGAAGTTGTAAATTTAACCAACCATTCGCTATAAATTAACAAATTATTTCAGACAATCCTTAATCTTCTCCTTAAAACATACTTATTAATAAGCCAAATAAAAATATACATTGGCGGATTTAGAACTTTTCATAGGGTGGGAGCACTAACTGACCTTAAACATGTGGGGGGGGGGGGGGGGGGGGGGGGGCTCCAGTCATGCTTCAGTGATTCCCTATATAATCAACCAAAATTTTTCCCACAAAAGGGGGGGGGCAGATGATATATGTAGTTACCCTAACTACCCTACTTTTTAGTCTTAATAATAGCCTACCCTAAAGATTTTTTTGTCATTTTTCATTATGCACTGTTAAGTCAGAATGTTACTCCCATAGACTCATTGAATGTAAAAAAAAAAACACAACATAAAATTTAAATAAATCCCTACCTAGTTACTACTGAAATTATAAAATTAATATTTAGTTTAAAATTTTTTTCCCATTGATTGACAAACCCTGACTACTCATTAACTGATAAGGAAAAATTGAGAAATCTTGATCATTATAAAAAGGTTTATAAAATATTTTGAAGTGTACCAACACATAAATTGCAATCCAGTTGATACACAATTACAATCCCTGAAAGAAGATATTTTCTTTTTTCTTTCTTTTTTTTAGATGAGGGAGTAGTTAGCATTTACCGCTTTTGTATAATCATATTAAATCAAACATTTTTCATATTTCTGATAGCAAAGCAGTTTTAAAAATATACTGCACTTCCAATATGTATACTTTGACATGTTTGATAAACATTCAATTTAACATTTATTGACAACATTTGGCCCAATAAAATTCTTTTCAGCACACTTACTTATTTTTATTCATATGTCCTATTGTTAATCTTATGTGTGGTTCAAAGCTCAAAATTGCACTTGACTTATAAGTTTGAGGAAAAGTTTAATACACAGCAAAAAAGGGAGATAACTCAGGTTTTGAAGTGATATTCATTATCAATTTTTTTCTTTGCAATTATGGAAAGTAAAGGATCTTAATTACAGTAACAGGAATCTATTTCAAAAGCTGGAGTTACCTCCCATATTTTATAAGAGTACAAAAATAAAGGAAACTTTAAATGTGTGAAAGAAATTAAGTTTACTGATAAATGAAAATAGAAATATTACTGATAAATCAATATTAACCCATCAATATATTCCAAGTATCTTAGGAATTTGAAATCAAAGATACAAATTCTACCATTATTGCTCTACTAGAGATAAATATAAACGGTGATAGAAAATACAACTCAAAACCAACACTGATCTTTTTGTAGTTGCATCTAATCCACTATCAAGGGAGATAATTCATGCGAAATAAAAAGATAAATATTAATCATTTGATGGTTATATGTCCCCCTTTAATGTAAATTATATTAAAGTGCTAGTAAAAATGTTCTCCTGAGTATGTTTTTAAAATGTTTATTGTGAAATTTTGTTAGAATTTGTTAATTTTTGTATTTCAAACAAATAAAATATCTATATTCTTATTCTAATTCTTCTTCAATAATTATTTTTACATTTTGGCGATTATGTCAAAATGGCAATAATTAGTGCACACACTTAATTATTTTAAACAGTGATTTTATCTTGTGCAAAACCAACCACGTAAGCACATTATATAAAAAATTAGCCTTGGTCAGATCAAATGAACTTCACGTGAATTTCACGTTAGTCAGATCATGTGAAATTCACCTGAGTCAAATCATGTGAAATTCACGTGAGTCAAATCATGTGAATTTCATGTGAGTGAGATCACGTGAATTTCACGTGAAAAAAAGTTTATGTGAAATTCACATGAATTTCACATGAGTTTCACGTTAACCAGTTCACGTTAAATTCACGTAAGTCAGATCATGTGAGTTTCACGTGAATTTCATGTGAATTTCACGTGAAAACTGTTCACGTGAAATTCACATGAAAAATTCACATGATATTCACGTGAGCAAAAATTCACGTGAAATTCATGTGAAACTCACGTGAATTTTACGTGACTTTCACGTGAAATGAGACTCACGTGAAATTCACGTGAACAAAATTTGCCTGTGTAAGAAAAGCTCACGATGCCCTTTTGGGGTGAAAAGTACTTAATAACATTAGCTAAAAACGTTTCAACGCATGCATATTTATACCGGTATGGATGAAAGGAGATATGGGACGAACTTCAACTCGGTGCAATTACATTTGTATGTATGTATGTATTATTAAACCACTTTTTCATTACTAAAATGCGCAGAATGTCAAAATCTATACCTATATCCTATTGTCACCAAATTTATTCCGGAGATGAATCATTGTAGGAGTAATTGGCTTTAAAAAATAGTTTTTGGGTAGAAACTGTAAACAGTTGAAATGGTGAGCAATACACACTCTACAGCAATGCCCAAATAGTTAGCCCTAGCTTTTCATATTGATTTTGGATAAAGACTCGAGTATCCCATTATGAATTTTAACACATTTATACAGGTAAAAACATGATGTTCTGTAAACATTTAACTCTTCAAACATACCAAAATTGTGAACTCTTGATAATGTTTCAGGTCGGGGAGTAACAGTTTGCGGTCGCGGCTTTTTTGTGTTTATCTTGGAAACTACAATAGTTTTTTAAAAAAAAGTGTAATGAAAACAGTCTGAATATGCTCTTTAGTAAGGTTCTCATTTTGGCAATTTAAACTTTTAGGATATTTGTTGTTTTATTGCCTATTATCTTGATAACTTATTTATAGAGAAACCTTTCTTTGCAAAATAGTAGGCAAGAACAGATCTACAAATAATTAACCCAACAGGACTGAAATTAGAATCCAGTGCTAAGGAACTGGTAATTTCTTTCATTTGGGGACCTTGTAGGAAACATTGGAATTTCTCTTATATTTTTCCAAAAGTGAATTCGAGCCTCCTTCCAAAAACTTAAAAAATAAATTATGTCTTTCTAGCCAAAACATTATATTATTTTACTGTAGAGGAAAGCGTAGTGTATGGGTCCCCTGGTTATGCATCTCCAGGTCATAAATGAAAATTGTTCATAGAAAGACATGTTAAAATGCCAAACTTGACTTCCATATGTTATCTTAAACCATTGATATATATGCTCAATCATGATTTTTACGATAAATCAAGCAAGGAAACAGCTTTTAGTGTTATAAGTGGGTTTTTTTTATATGGAAAGGAGTATAATCGTAAAGCGTCGAGAAAACCTGCAAAAACTTAGAGACCAAACCATTAATCTCTGATATTGCCGTTTTTCGTGTCCAAAAACTAACAGAAGATGGTCATGGCATACATGAAACAAATATTAAAATGAAGATTGAAGCCAAAAATGATGACATAAGAGATACAGATATGAAATCTCAATCAAGTGTTAGACACTCATGGTAAATAATCAAATACTAAATGCAAAATTGCTCAAACTTGATACACAAAGTTTTATGCCCCCCTCCATTTGAAATGTTTAAAAGATGGATACATCCTTTCTATTCCCAAAAAGTGTTCAAGCCCTCCCCATAATTCTTTCCATCCCTCCCTTTCAGGTTACAAATGACCAGTCCCTTACAGAAGTTATTGCATTTCCAAGGGCCGATATTTGTCCATTTTCGCGTTTTCATACATAAATCTTGCTAAAAGTAATAGATAAAGAGATACTTGAACAAGCTAATATAATCAGCAAGGCAAAATTTACTAAAAATGAACATACTTGAAAGTTGGGTATCAACTTCTTATAGAAGAAACTGCCTCTAAATAGGAAAGACATTTTCAATGGAAACAAACTATTTTGTTTGTTTCCCTTCTGAATCAAATGATGTCTTTTTCAAGAAAATCTGAATTAAACATTTAAAAAAAAATGAATGGTCGGTAATGCACCGAGTTCAAGTTCATTCCATATCCATACCAGGCATTATTATTCATGAGTAGAACATTTTATAGCTATCGATTTGAAATACTTATAAAAATGACTCTGATTTTAAAATTTGTAAAGGAAATGAATAAAGATAATGCGGCAATTTAAAAAGACAGAAAATATATACTGGTAAAGCCGTCTTTTGCACTAAGATATAAAAAGGAGATGTAGTATAATTGCCAGTGAGACAACTATCCATCAAAGTTCATATGATCTGGATGTAAGCAACCGTACAGCGTTCGTCAATGAGTAATGCGGCGTTCACACAGTTCCGATTATGGCTCCCGTTTGAGATCAGACAGCGCTAAGACACGAAAAGTGAAAAAGTCGGATTACTATCCTCAATGATCTGGAATGTCCTATCATTGTCTGAACGCAGTCGTATACGTTCGTTACAGATTCCTACGGATCGGGAATGGGCCGGAGAGGTCAGCCAAGCACCCGACAGTTAGGTGCGTCCCGTAACATTCGTGGAGACTCTGCCGATTTTTTCTAGTCGAATTACTATCGTGACTATGTCGTGACAGATTCTGCGGTATCGGATAAAAATCGTAACAATGTTCTGTGTTTTCTGGACGGTGTCCTTTCGAAATGGCATGATCTGGAGAAATTTTTCATTGCTGTTTTTTTGCCGATTGAGTCCCGATTGCAACCAGATCTTGCCGAATGCGAACAGTCTTTGCCGAAACCGTTCCCGAAGAGTCCCGTTTATAATACGAAATTCGGCCATAATATCCACGTCAGAGTCTCGACAATTACAGAACACATTACGACTGAGTCCAGACCAAGCCGTTTGCAATGCAGCACAGCAGACTGTGATAGGATTGCGTTCCGACAGTACCTGATCATCCCGAATATGGCAACAGTTTTCTAACGGATATCTTCCGTCAGCGTCGATTCACTGTCTGGTCACTGTCTGATCTGTGTCGGATCACATTCGGTATAATCGGGACGCTGTCGGGACATATTCGGTCGTTTTTTACCATGTGAGAGATACAAATCGGATTAATATCGGATTGAGAACCGTATAATCGGGACAAATTCGGCTGGAAACGGCTGAATTTGGATGCTTCCTGAACAATATCTGATTGTTGTCGTGATTAAATAAATTTTTTTACAAATTTTAATTAAAGTTTCAATTTCCAGCCACGATTCTCAGGATCTTGATCAGACTTTTGACAAATTTTAATCGGGAATGGTCCTGTCAAGGACGGCAGTAAAAATCGTGAATGTGTGACCCCAGCTTTAAACCCATGCCATATAATCGGCTATAAAAGGCCCCGACATGAAAAGTATGTACAATTCAATTGAGAAAACTATATCTGCCTAATTCATAACAAAACAATTTACGAAAAACAATTATGACAGACATAAACCAACGACAACCACTGAACTACTGGCTCCTGACTTGGGACAGGCACATAAAGAATGTGACCAGGTTAAACATGTTTGTAAGCGCTCAATCCCCCTCCCCCCTCTAACCTGGGACAGTGGTCTTACATCACAACATAAGAACAGTTGAAATGTTGAAAAGTGCTTAACTCATCAGATAGATACAAAGCCGAAAAAAATATGTTTGAAAGGTTGACTCTTGTTAAATTGCACTGTCTCATTTTTGTCTATAAATTGCCATCTCGGACGCTGATACGAGGCTGGAGTTGATATCTCAGAACAGTAAACTGGGATTCAAACAATATTGCAGAATAGCCTCTGGTAGATCAGATATTTGAGCTCCAGGTGCTCAGTACACATACGAGGACCCATAATTTAATTACGTTAAACGTAGGTTTATTATTGTACACCCATCGATTAAACCTAAACTTTGCAATTCATATTTTGACATTTTTCAAACAATATCAAGTGAGATTATTTCATCTTTAAAACGATTTTACCAACGTGGCAACTCTTTTGAAATCTCATCCATTTTCCAAACGATAGTTACAGATTTGAGCCGGGTTTATAGTAATTTCGGAGAAGCAGATCGGAATCAGTTATGGCGTAGACAGTAATCGTTCTAATCGTAATCATGTTCATTGATCATAACAACGATGAAAGCACATCTTTTAATTACGATTTGACATAAAATAAACCAAACCACATCATTTAGTGTTAAAAGCACATAATAAAATGACACAGACACATCATAAAAGAATATTTGCACGTCATACATGTTATATAAGTATATTTGCACATGATATAAGTACAGTTGCACATCATATAAGGATGTTTGAACATCATTTAAGTATATTTGCACATCATTATAAGTGTAGTTGCACATCCTATAAGGATGTTTGCACATCCTATAAGTCTATTTGCACATCATATAAGTACATTTGAACATCATACACGTATATTTGGACATCATAAAGGTATATTTACACATCATATAAGGATATTTGCACATCATATAAATATATTTGCACATCATATAAGTATATTTGCACATCATATAAGGATCTTTGCACATCGTATAAGTTTATTTGCACATAATATACGTATATTAGCACATCATATAAGTATATTAACACATCATATAAGGATTTTTGCACATCATATAATGTCAACTGAACACCATATAATGGTGTTTGCACATCATATAAAGACAAGTGCACATCATATAATTGCAATTGCACATCATATAATGAAAATGGACATAATAAGACAGTTTTGGCGTTCCATAGTTTCCTGTTTGGATTATGTATTTTCGAGTGTAGACGTCACCAGGCTTTTTTTTTAGGTGACATAACATACGATCAAATTTCACAAGTTTATCAGTTTTATTTAATCTTAAATGAATAAAAAAAAAGTTTTTAATTTGCTTAGTCAATTACATGTAGCAACCCCACACAAAAGTGCTTTTTCATAGAGTTAGGCTAAAGAACGTTGCTTTGCGAGCCATAGGTTTGATCTTAAATATTATGTCGAATATTCTTATTTGTGAAGAGCTCTTATTTACATGCAGAGGAACAAAAATAACATGTACTGACATCTTTCTTTATATTTTCATATTTGTTTTTAATTATTTTTTGGAAAAGACATAAGTAATGAAAAATAATATAACATGAACATTTCACAGGTAAACAACCTGAAATTAAAACTCAGAATTAAATTAATTCATTTAAACAAAAACTGCAAACTCTGCCATGTAAGTACAGTAAAAATAAAGACATGTTTATTGCTGCCCTCGGTCCGATGTTGAAGGCAAAGGACGATGAAAACAGTCTCATAACCATGAGAAACTCTAGAAAACTCTAAAAAGTTTCAAGAATCTTCAAATTCTGCACCCAATCTCTTTTAAAGAAAACTAAAATCCACGAATTCACAAACCCACGAACATGTGCTCAAACCGCGAAAATTGATGCCCACGAATAAAATTACTTTCACAGTAATACATTTTTTTTTGTAGTTGAATTTTAATCATGGCAGCCTCTGATCCATTTTGCTTAGTTTGTGAGCAGAGTCATGTTGTAAAACCTGCAGTCATATGGTGTAATATATGCGAAGGACTATGTGAAGAATGTAGTGTAGTCCATAGATTTATTAAAGATTGTTCATCACCATTGCATACCACTATTTCGGTAGACAACCGCAAGAAATTACCAACATTCATTGCGGAAATAAAACAGATCTGCGACGACCACAGTGAACCATATGTGTTATATTGCTCTATTCACAACGAACCCTGTTGTTCACAATGTAGTTCTACAAAGCATTCAACTTGCTCAGGTTTCCGTTCGCTAGAGGTAATGACTAAGAATGCAGCAGATTCGGCATCTCTGACCGATGTCGAAAACGGCATTGATCGACTCAGTAAAAATTGTGAGATTGTTAGAAGCAACAGAGAAACTGCATTGACAAAATATCAAGACGAAGTAAACAGTTTGAAGTCCAGTTTGAAAACTTTACATGATAACATGATAAAGGTATTTGATCAAATGGAGAAGGATATAATCGTCAAGGTCGATAAAATCGGGAAACCATACACAGAGGAAATGGAAAATATTACATCTGTACTGACAAATCTTAATTTGCGATTAGAAGACATGCGCAACGGTTTAACAACTATGAAATTATTCGGAAGCAGTTATCAGATTTTCGCTGGGACAGGGAAATTGAGGACTGAGCTCGATAAAGAAGAACGTATTTTGGAGGCTCTCCTTATTGACGGCAAAGTATTAAGACAAAAAGACATTACATTTAAGTTTGAATTTGCTTCGTTGCCAGCGGTAGTTAAAAAGGCAGTGAATTTTGAAACTGAAGAGACTAATTGTACTCTACAACTATTGAGAAATCAGTCAATTCAAATTAAACTAAGTTGGTAAGTCACAAAATTTATACAATTGAAGATATCAAATTTGATAAGGTGAAATCGTTTGATTTGTCGAATCCTGGATCTGAAAGATTTGTCGCTGGGTGTATATTTTTACGCGAAGGAAGATTTGCGTTTACTGACTGGAGCAATAATAAAGAGGTCGTCATGTGCAAAGAGGATGGGGTAGTTGTCAAAACATTTTATCAGAGAGGCAAACCTTACGGAATTTCTCGTTATTCTCAGCATTCAATTGCAATTACGATTCCAGATTTAAAGGAAAGTATTCTGATTGATTTAGAGACAGCCGAAGAGAAAGGTAAAATATCATTCGAAAAGAAATGTTGGGGAGTTACATCGGATGGTACACAACGATATATAAGGGCATATGAAGGCGGTATTCAATGCGTTGATGATGACGGAAAACCCCTGAAAATCTTACCTTTAGAAGGATTTATCACTCATATTGCCTATTCTGACGGAAAATTGTACTACACCCAACACAATCCGAATTTAGTCAAGTGTTGTACTATTGATGGGGAAGCGGTATGGCAATTATCAACAGATGGAGAACCTCACGGGATAACTGTGGGAAAACACGGTTTTGTTTTCGTTGCTCTATTGACAAGTAATAAAGTAATAGCAATCAGTCCAAATGGAATATCAACAAAAGACATAACATCTAGTTTTAATGATTTCTGTTCTCCTTATGCAGTAGATTACGATGTAGACAGGGATAAATTGCTAGTAGCAAAGGATAAAACTGGCGTATTCGAAATATACGATGTTTTGTTTGAATAAGAAAAACAACCGGTAAAAGGAGTTCAATGACACTTATATTTACACACAAAATTAATACTCTTATTGAAGAAGACATAAAGTGTTCTCAGTTTCACATCATTCAAGTGCCACTTGTATGTAAAACGTCTAAAAGGTTATCCAACGTCATTTTGCTTTTGGACTATTACAGAGCATTTTAAAACACAAAGAAAGACTTGGGATCAATTATCATAAAAAACAATACCAGATTGGTTTGATCACAATAAATCAGATCTCTCATTCGTAAATTTGCTGAAAATTACTAAGTTCCAATGTCTTGAGAAATATGCCAAAGGTCCCAAAATAGTTCCATAATCATTATAATAGCAAATGCTAAACTTCTATATGTGTGCAACGGGTGTGAAGTTTCGAGGGTATGGTTTGAAATCCGTACGAGGAGTAGATTACAGAAAACTGGCGCAATCTCTTTTAAATTTAGCTGCATAATAACTAGTTTCCGAGTCTGAAAAAAGAACGAAAATTACCATAATAACAGGTTGTCATCTTCAACGTGTGGCGTTTTTCTGTGGGGTTCCTGGAATGTGGGTTGAAAATGGAAGCAGGCGTTAATCAACAACAAGTTTATAGGTACCTACTTTTCCAGATAGCTCGCCTGCCAATCCGCCCGAAATCACTATACTAATAATCAGGTTTGGACTTCGCCTAACCCGAACAAAATTATTAATATCATACAAATTCCTATGTTTTTCTACACCCAGACGTAAATAGCCTAAGTAACATTTGAGAACACTTTGTAATTGCTGTTATTGATGAGTCTTAAGGTGACGAAATGCGTATTTGTCGTATTAAAGTTGAAGTTTAATATCCTTGATTTTTTTTTATTGTTATACTATTTATAAAGTAAAAAATATACAAAAATTTCATACAAATTGTTCTTTGTGATTAACAAAACTGTTTGAAGAAATTTATCGTTTAACTTATTATTATGCGGCAGTGTTTGTTCGTCTTGCATTTCTTTATAAGAATAAGGAGATGTGGTATGGTTGGCAATGAGACAACTATCCACCAGAGTTCAAATGAAGTGGATATATCTGCTTTGATGTGTTGATGAACTAAAATGTTTCAGTCCTTTTTTTCCTTTTAAATACCAACACATCAAATCAGAAAGTCATCTTCCGTCATTGTAAATTACCCTGAACCAATTAAACATTTATGTTCCCTCAACTGGTAAATGCATCACAATACTAACTTAACCAATCAGTTCATTTTATTTTGGTATTGTTCAAGACGTTACTACATTCATCACGATGCTGTTGATTGGAATCCACTAAGAAATAGAAAACAGTGGTCGCTATTGAAATAAACAAATAAAGGAGGGCTTTAAAATCCACAGATGCAGTACTTTGAGCTTACTTTCGGTAACGGAAATAATTTTAGTAAAATGTTATTTAATGGTGTGTTACTTTTTCCGTGATTTTGTCGTCATGCAAAGAAGAAAATAATTAGTTTATTTTTAGTTAATTGATTATTGTTTGATTCGATTACGTACGTTGACGGTTCAAGAGTTATCTACCTTTTGTGACACATTCTCACAGAGACACAACTTGAGAATTTTACAAGTATAACCCTTATAGTTCGACGTGTTTATTATAACAAAAATTGCTAGGGGACTCCACCAATTATTGTAAAAGAAAATATTAGCTGTTGATATTCATTTGATGTTATACAGAAGGTAATGAGTGTGATATTCCTGATGAATCATACTCTTAACAGAAGAATGACTCTGTGAGAGCTGGGTCTGGAACTTTACATATCCGGGAAACCAGCTGGTAACAATGCCTATGATGGTGTGTGGTATTGCTGCCGATGCAGAGGCAGACCGGGATCGACTGACATCTATAATTTTCAAAAGTCAAGACTCATTATGATTAAATAAATAAAAAAAAACAAATCACAAACAATAATAAAGTAAAACACAAATTTTCACTTATTTCTTTAATAGCAAACCAAGAGATATTTATATCACATTGCATTTTTCTATTACAGTATTCGTATTGCTCAATCTTTTATTTTTGTGTGTTTGCCTCTTTGCGGTTTTTTATAGAAGGGACATAGTGTTGTCTGTATTCCTTTGACTCTGCATTTTTCATTGCACCCCTTAAGATATCTCCCTCCTTTTTATTAGCTCACCTGGTCCGTCGTCGTCGTCCGTCGTCGTCGTCGTTAACTTTTACAAAAATTTTCTCCTCTGAAACTACAGAACCAAATAAAACCAAACAAGGCCTAAATCATCCTTAGGGTATCTAGTTTTAAAAATGTATCCGATGACCCCGCCCATAAACCAAGATGGCCGCCATGGCTTAAACTAAAACATGGGGGTAAAATGCAGTTTTTGGCTTATATCTCTGAAACTAAAGCATTAAGAGCAAATCTGACATGGAATAAAAATGTTTATCAGGTCAAGAGCTATCTATCCTGAAATTTTCAGATGCATCAGACAACCTTTTGTCGGATTGCTGCCTCTAAATTGGTTATTTTAAGGAAATTTTGCAGTTTTTAGTTATTATCTTGAATATTATAGTAGAAAGTGACTGTAAACAGCAAAATTGTTCAGCAAAGTAAGATCTACAAATAAGTCAACATGACTAAAATTGTCAATTGATCCCTTAAAGAGTTATTACCCTTTAAAGTCAATTTTTTTCACAATTTTTCGTAACTTTTTGTAATCTTTTACAAAAATCTTCTCCTCTGAAACTACTGGGCCAAATTAAACCAAACTTGGTTTAAATCATCCTTAGGGTATCTAATTTAAAAAATGTATTCAATGACCCCGTCCATTAACCAAGATGGCCGCCATGGCTAAAAATAGAACATGGGGGTAAAATGCAGTTTTTGGCTTATATCTCTGAAACTAAAGCATTTAGAGCAAATCAGACATGGGGGTAAAAATGTTTATCAGGTCAATATCTATCTGCCCCGAAATTTTCATATGCATCAGAGAACCTGTTGTTAGGTTGCTCCCTCTGAATTGGTAATTTTAAGGAAATTTTGCAGTTTTTGGTTATTATCTTGAATATTATAATAGATAGAGATAAACTGAAAACAGCAAAATTGTTCAGCAAAGTAAGATCTACAAATAAGTCAACCATGACCGAAATTGTCAATTGACCCCATAAGGAGTTATTGCCCTTTAAATTCAATTTTTCACAATTTTTCGTAAATTTTTGTAATCTTTCACAAAAATCTTTTCCTCTGAAACTACTGGGCCAAGTTCATTATAGATAGAGATAACTGTAAACAGCAAGAATGTTCAGTAAAGTAAGATCTACCAACAAGTCACCATCACCAAAACAGAGTATTTTGTCATGAATTCTATTCTTGTCTTTAATGTTGTAGAGTATTCTTTGTTTAATATGCACTATAGCACATAGACCAAGGTGAGCGACAAAGGCTCTTTAGAGCCTCTGGTTCTTAAAGTGTTAGGTGTTCACAAATTTTCCGTCTTCTGACCGATTTAGATTTGTCTTTATCGTGGGCTATCTTCTGATTTCATTCCGAATATATGACTGTCAATGTATTGATAGGTTTCCCTATCTGTTCTATATCCATTGGAAATATTTATGACAATAAAAGTCAGTGATGTCCGTCGGATTCTGTAGGCAAACTGTCATAAACTTCAGTAAGCCATATGGCTTTTCGGATTAAAACTGGCTTTATTTCCTTGAAATTGGTTCATATTTTATTTTCATTAACTGTCAAAAGATTCTGGTAGCTTGCCAGAAACTGAGAATAATTGTTATCTAAAAGGAAAGTTAATCAAAAGAAATCATATAAAATGCTTTCTATATATCTATTGAATTGTGTGATTTTACATTTAAATGGACCATGTACTTCTTCTATGTGTGCCACATCATTCTCTAAATTTTAATAAGACACACACCACCTATTTCTTGGTCCCCATTCCTACCCACGTTAAATGTTTCACTTTCAAACATTTATGTGGTGGTGTTGGGGGAGGGGGTCAATATACCGTTATTTAAACTTCAGACCGCAATGGTTACCGGAACTTTGTAAACCAAACCAGGTACTTCATATCTGAAAAATATGCAATTTATGTCCTCAATTTTAGAATTCATTCATACATTTTAGTATTATTCAAATTTATCAGTCGAAGCGTGTTATACAAGGATCACCAGTCCTTCACTTTTAATTTGATACCTAAATAACTACATAGTTTGATATTTACACCTATGCGTAGGAACTATTTTGTTTTAAATACGTACAGCTTTCCAGTATGTTCTTTTTGACAGGGGCCGCTTTGGTGGTGTTTCATCTTATAAAATCTAATCAAATTATTTTTGCAAAGAATTCCACTCAAGCCGGTGCTAGGGGCCATCCTAAACTTGCAGTGAGGTGCGAGTTTCTTTTTTTTCTCTCGCCATGTTGAAGACCTCATTTTAGATGAAGAACAGCAATAAAAGTGTGGTTCCTTTGCTTTTTGATTTATTTTTTTTTTGCTGTGCATGTACTGATTGTGTGTCATGGATTGATATCCCATATCCTTTGTTTTTTTCTATTATGTAACTTTCTAAGAGCAAAAAAAATTTCATGCCATTCACATCTTCTTAGTACATAAAAAATGAAAACAACACGTTATAAATTTCATACGTCCTAAGCGCTTTTCTGGATTTACCCTCATAAGGAACGATCAAAGGCGAATATTTGAAAGCCAAGAATGTATAAAAATCGTAACAGTTGAAGAGCTATACGACCAAAAAGGACCTCAAAACTAGAGGCTCTAAAGAGCCTGTGTCGCTCACCTGCTTCTTCAACAATAGCAACATTTTAGTTAAAAATCATCATGAAAGGGGAACAACTCTATCAAGAGTTAACTGATAATGTCAGTCATGTTGAAATATTTAAAGATCTTACTTTCCTGATAATTTTTCCCTTCGAAAGTTTCTATATATCGATTATAGTTTTCAAGTTAATTCGCAAAAAATGAAAAAAAAATGTAAAAAAAAAATTATAATTAAAGGGCAATAACTCCAATAACTAGTCGACTGAAGATTTGGACCATAATATCAAGACCTGTCTTGAAAGGTCGTTTGTGCCATTTAAAGTTGCTATATATCTAGTATAGTTTTCAAGATAATAGGCAAAAATGGGAAGAAATGGATAAGTCGTCATTATAGGACAATAACTTCAATAAGGAGTCGACTTACAAGTTTGGTTATGTTGTCTTATTTGTAGATCTTGTCTTGGTGATGTTTTTTGCTTTGTAAATTAGGTTTTTATATATCTATTATAATTTTTAAGATATTAGACAAAAACGCAAAAAATTTGGTAAAAATCGTCATTAAAGGGCAATAACTCTATTAAGGAGACTTCTGACGATTTTGGTCATGTTGACTTATTTGTAGAACTCGTCATGCTGATCAATTCTGCTTTTTAAAGTTACTCTTTATCTATTACAATTTTGAGATATTAGGGAATAAAAATAAAAATAGTAAAATTCAGCATCTAAGGGCAATAACTCATATAAGAAGTCGTCTGACAGTTTAAACATAAATAGACAATAGTAAGAGCTCAACATTCTGAACATTTTTTTTCCTGTCAGAATTTCTCTATTTATAGCGGTTTTCACAGTAAAAGGCAAAACTTGGAGTATACCCCATGTACTATTTCTAGTCATGTCGGGCATCTTGGTTGGCAAGTAGGGTCATCGGACACATTTTCTAAACCAGATACCCTAATAATGATTGTGGCCAAGCTTGGTTAAATTTGGCCAAGTGGTTTCAGAGATTTTTGTAAAAGTTAACGGACGAGGACGACGACGGACGACGACGACGGACGACGGTCGCCA